TGATACCAAGGGCTCAAGTAGAAAGAAAATGTTTTGAGAATGATGTTGGCAACAAATGTACTTGACACAATGGATGGATGGATGGATTGTAATAAGAGTTGTACGAGTCCCCAATTAAATGATTTTTAAAAGAATGTTATTGATATAAAATTCACATATCATACAGTTCCATAGTGAAGTCACTTTTTAAGAGTTGTATCTGCATCATCACAACCAGTTCTAGCATACCCGCCTCCCTCATGCATTCATTATTTGCTCCCCAATTCCCCTCACCCTTCCCCACCCCAACCCTGATACATCATTGAATCAGTTATTGTCTCTAGGCTTCATAAACCGGGAAACCTAACAGAAACAATAAAAAACAAAACAGAAATAAATAATAATAATAAAGAGTAAGAAAGAAAAGGCCACCAGCAATATTAAAATAAGCAGAATTTTTTTGTCAGGGAGCAAGCAAGAAATACATAAATCAAGAGCAAATTCAGGTTGGGTCAAGAGAGAGGTCACCTGACCAGGTGTCTTATTATACCGTAGTCCCATCCACCATAATCAAGTTTACAATCATCTCTGTCTGATAGCAAAACTGTATGAATCCTTTAACTATGGCCAGAGGGATCTGCCAGAAGCTTAAACTGACTAGACACTCTGCAGATGGATTTTGGGCTCCCACTGTCTTCCATAGCCTCCTACAAATTGAGTGTTCACAATTTAAGCTCCGATACTTTTCCCTTCATCGTATTTGGGTTTCGTTACTGTAATTTTGGGACTATGTGGGGAAAGGCCAGCACCCCACAACTAATCGCGGGTTCGATAGGCACAATTGTATGGTTAAAATATATGTATTTTTTAAAGAGAGATAGAAGAGAGCTTGAAATAATGGAGTCAGACACAGCTCATGGTAGCATGCTCACCTCAGCTCCTCTTTGTGGTACAGGGCAGGAGAGAGAGAGATTGATTGCTAACCAAGGCTTATATATCTTTGTGGGGGTGCATGCCTCCTAATTACAGGTAATACGTCACAGGAAGGGGTTGTACAATAGGCAATACGAGCAATGGGGGCAGGGGGATATAAAATGGGCATAAGCCTAACAGGAAGAGGATGAGCTAGGGGTGTACACATGACAGGAAGGAGAGGGGCTAGGTGTATAAATGTGACAAGATGGGCGGCCCCTAGATTCATGTTTCCCACAGGGCTACACAGGGTGGTGTGTGTCTTCCATGTGGATTTAGCTGCCGCCTCACTTAGATGGCTGCCTGTTTCAATACAAGCCTTTAAGACCCCAGACACTGTTCTAATTGATAGTCAGGCACCAACTGCTTTCTTGACCACACTTTGCTGTAGCACCCATATCTTCAGTGATCTTTTCATGAAGGTGAGTATTGAGCAGGGTCATGTTACAAGAACATCTGTTGTTGGATTTTGCCAGAATTTAGTGGGAATCCAAAGTCCATATGCTTGTCCATGGGTTTTATAAGAAAGGGGGCGGGGCTAATTGATTATCTCCCTGGGGTATAAGGTGATTCCATCAATAATTTATCCACTGGCATAGAATTTAAGGCATTGTTGAGAAAATGGATTTATGCATGTGTAGTCCAGCTATGAACTGCAATCCATGAGTTGTTGCCTTGTACAGATTGAATTCTTTTTTTTTTTAATACATACCTCTATTTAGATCTCTATAAATGTCTTTTACCTCCTATTTCTTTTCTTTATTTCCTTTTGCTTTCCTCTTGTCCCACTATCATGTTCAACCTTCATTTGGTTTTCAGTAATTCCTCTTGGCTACATTTCACTTGATCAAGCCCCACCAGGCATCCTATGCCTTCCTCACCATCAATTTTAGATCACTTGTTGTTCCCTTGTCCCTACTTTTGTTGGTTCCCCCCTTCCTTTACCCCTCCTCCCACTCTCCCGTGTCCCTCCTGGAATCCTCAGTCCCGCTGTTTTCTCTTCGGGGTTGTTTACCCTGCCTACCTTCTCTTGATAGACAAGCA